TTGTTTGTTGCAGGCACTTGTGGAAAAAGATTGGCTTGCATTTGGTCATCCATTTTCAGACCGTGCTGGATTGCCAGCTTTATCTGGAAGTGGTAACATGCCTTCCGAATTAACAAGACAGGCTTCTGTTGGAAGCTCATCTCCCCTTCGTCAATCGTCGGGCTTGCCTTCATCTCAGACTCCTAATTCTTCACATGGGCAAAATAATTGTTCCCCTATTTTCTTACAGGTATGCAGAAGCAGTGCATACCCCCTCCCCCTCCAACACAAACTGAATTTTCATTTTGACATTTTGTGGTTTTTGTGGTATTGCATCTGAAAGTGTTTTGGCAAATCGCTGAGTTGGTTAAACTACTTGTATCTTCCTCGGCCTTAAGCTTTGTTTGGAGCTTTTTATGTTGTATTTGCTATATGGTGGTGGTACTATCCATTATTGGGAAAAAGTAGTTTGGCCATCAGCCATGGTGTGCGTGTTCAGTTACAGTATTCATTTTGCAGTAGGGCATCACAACTTTCTCAACTTGTTGCCTCATGATATTTTCATGCAAAGGGAAATCCTATTATGACGTTGGTTTTTGAATCTCATGTCACTATCATCAGTTCTCCAAATGTAAATTATACTTCTGTATACATGAACCTTAACTCATGATATTACAATATTCACCTACTTACTCCCACTACCATTTATCTGCTACCTAATGAGACTTATCCACCCACATCCACTAAGAATCTGGCATCTTCGTTTGTCCACCATTATTACTACTAATAATCCGGCATCTTCATTTGTCCACCACAATTGTCACCTTAAATCTATTTTTGCTATTAATTTACACTGATCATTGCGGCCAACTGTGTATAATCCACCACTTACTGCATGGATTTTCTTCCAATACAGATCAAGTACACCGTATTTGTAGCCCAACCTTAAATTTAAACACATAAGTTGACATTGATTTTGTGGGTATATTGTTATTCTTAAGTAACTTATAGGAAAATCAAGATTTTCAAAAATTCAAAATGATTTTGAGCCACATAATGACAAGATTTGATGGTAACAATTTGATCTGAAACTGAGAAAACTGAATAAATCCAGATCGACGATAAATTAGATGCAGTTGTATGTTGTATGTGGCAGAACATCCTTTTACTTGTTTTCCTTTTGAGGTGTCTTCTTCATAATGAAATCTTTCAATTTGTTTGCAGTGGGTTGATTGTGTTTCACAGCTTTTGCGGATGTATCCCTTTGCCTTTGAGTTCTCCTCCGTGCGTCCTTTTTCTTCTAAAATTCTTACTAAAAATTAAATAAATCTCTTCTGATATGACAGATGCATCCCTTTGTTACTTACTGATTCTCAACAATACAGGCATTTCTAGTAGATGTCTTGGATTGCATGCTTTCTTGTCGCTTTGGAAACTTCTTGTGCAATAGGTAAATCTCTTGCAGGTTTATACTGATCTATTTATTAGATGCTTTACTCTAGGGAACAAGCATCGAAGCATATAATAAATACTTCCTCTGTCCAGAGAAAAGAGTTATCTAAAATAAGAAATGTCCTGAAAACAAAGCCTGGTTTTAAAAGTCAATTTTCATTTCTAGTACAATTCCTTTAGAGCATTGCCACAAGCAGTTTTTGATGAAGTTGGGGCGGTATCTTAGGGTTACTAGCAATAAACCTAAACAGAAGGATTTTGGGGTCCATCTAGAACATAATTTTATGTTTAGTTAAATAATTTATTTCTATATAATTTTTTTATAATCACATTTTTCAATTTCTGAAAAAATTAATAGTACACAAATCATTCCCATCCTTCCCTCTCTACCAAAGACACCCTAAAGCCTAAACGGCTCCCTAAGCCCAAAAGCTATCAATCTGTTATTGAAATTTTGGAATTCCCTCATGAACCGGTGTACATCAGTCTCCTCTATCTAGAAGAACTCGATCCTGAATTCTCTTCTGGATAAAGAGTCTCGACTTCAAAAAAGTGATGTTGATCAGTAACATTTAGGGGGTGTTTGTATTTTGGCGGATTGGAAGCAACACGCTGCAAAAAGCAGCGTTTGCTATTGCAAAAAAAAAAACAGCAGTTTGGGGTAAAAAGCTACTACCCAAACACCCCCCTTATGCTGCCAGTTCATATAATCTTACTCACCAAGTTGCGCGAAAGTGACAATTCTTAATTTGTAAAACTTTGAACCTTGTTTAAGTTGACTAAACAGAAATACTTGTTCATTCCTCAAGCCATACCATGATCATTTTTTCGGACGGATAGAGTATATCATTATTGTTATGCTTTGTGCCGGTGTGCCAATTTATTTGTCTTTCATAGAGATCATTTGTGATTTCCTTTTTTCTCATCAAATAATTTGGCACCATGTCCATATCTTCGACAGAACTAATCACCATTCAACATCTAGAAGGCACACTATGCTTGTAGGATTAGACTAAAAGTTTATGTTCCATTGGACTGACACGTTCAAAGTAGAAGATAGTCCCTATTTGGAGAAAGTACATGCAAAATGTTTTCGTTGTTCCTCATAATGCATTTCAGTGTTTTTCCTTTTTAAAATGAATTCAGTGAGAAAGAAAGGCAGCAAGCCGGTATCTCTGATGCATGTGGATGCTTATGGACGTATTTGGCTGATTTACGGTCATCAGAAGAAAGTTCACACGTACATTACAACATCTTTTATGATCCGTTAAAGCAGGGAGGGCCACTGCTACCTCCAGCTGCAGCTTTAGCTCCCACACTTTGGCCTCAATTCCATCTTCGGTGGGCTTGTCCTTCAGAGGCTCAAGGCGGTGATGTGGAATCACAGTGCCGCAGCATCACCAAGAAATTCTCTGATTTGGAGAAGGTAAACTCTACATTTGGTGACTGCATTTGGAGGAATAATGGAGAAAAGCAAATCCTTCGCTACTATATTAAGTAGACTTTTGGGAATCCTTTCAGGAAGATTTTTTAACACCGACCCATTTCACTGCATTGCCTGAATAATCAACTACGGAGTATGTTTCGTAATAAAATATCCTCTTTAAAAAAAAAATCAACTACGGAGTATAATAAAATTAAATAGTGTAGAAGTTACTTTTTCGGGAGATATGAGTGAAAAGAAAAGAAAATGACACCTTTTCCCGGGAAGGAAATGATACTTGTTTACTGGGAGGAAATGGTACTTTTTCTGAGAAGGAAATGGCACATATCCTCATAAAAAATAATTTGTTTAATTTACTAATAAAAACACCTGTTCCTAAATATTCCTCTTTTTTTACTCATATATTAAGAAACTGAATTTGTGTAGGTGATATTATTTGAGAAAGGCTGAAAGATGATATCAATCACATATTTATTTCCTTAAACTGAAAAAATAACATTATAAGACAACTAAAATAGGAAAGTGGGAAGAACATGTTGGGACGGGGGAGGGAGATATTTTAAATATATATCGTACTACTTCAGTCATTTCGTCCAACAATGTTCGTAAATGTGTTCCACTCAATACCTTCATTCATATCAACCAAATTTTACAATCAACAAACAGGCCCTTAAGTTCCCCTCCAGAGGGACTCAGAGTGTCAGAGACTGGGTATTCCACTAGACTCGTTTTCCATTAATATTGTTGTAAAAGTTCTCACATTTCACAGGCAAAAGAAGCTGCAGAAGCCAGAGTTAAAGAAATGGCAGCAAACACAAGACACCTGACAGCTGAGTTGCAAAGTGAGAAACGTGTCAGTACCTCAGCCGTAGATTCAGCAAAGAGAGCCAACAGAGAGTGTGTTTCCATCAAGCGGGCAGTCCAATCATTAGGGTGTAAAATTCACATCTCGGCAGATGGTGACTGTAGTGTTGATATAGAGAGCAACCCAACACAGATTCCTCAAAACTCTCTTTCATCTCACTCGAGAAATGAAAAGGGTGGTGAAATCAACCTGGACCATTCATTGTCGTTCTGCGTCACGCAAGATGATCCACCCGATAACCGGTTTGGTCGGGTATGTGAATCTTTGTGCCCAATGCGCACAAGGGAAGGAGCGTGTAGGTGGCCCAGCGCCGGCTGCACTCAATTTGGGAGCCAATTTGTTGGACTGAAAGCAAATTTTGAGGCGTTTGATCGGCTTTCTATATTTGATAGTTATTTCGAGTCATAATGGAAGACAGGGCTGTAAATAGTAAATTGGTCTGAGTTTTTGTCATCTGTGGAAGTCAAGAGGTCGACAAGAAGATGGATGTTAACAAGTAATAATGCATGGCAAATAATGGCAATTTAGATAGCTGCCGTTAATGCTTCGGCAATACACAATTTTATTGCGAGGGTACTAGTTCTAGGTTACACATTCTTCATATAATTATTGTGTAGATACGTACAACACCATTTTGTTCAAGTAGTTGATATCCTAATAAAGTTGATTCTCTTCTTCGTGTATGGACTTTAGTTGTAGTTTTTAGAATTATTATTTCCTGATATTCCGGTTCAATTTATTTTTCTTTATTAATAATGTTCTGGCTTACATAGCTGGAGGACATAATTCTTGGGGTTTACACGGCTGATCTGGTCGAGTCCCTATTCTGGATTTCTGGCCCCCTTCCCGTTAACATAGGAATCATTATCGAAAGTAGAGATAGATCCGGAATTGAACCAGATTGGTTTCGTAAAAACTGAACAGGTGACCTTTTAATCGAAACCAAAAATAGCGGTCTGACCGTAGAACCGGCGACTCTAAATATGTCTGCAACTTTATCACTTGAAAAAAATTTAGTGTAGCTGATATGGCAGATCAGCTGGTCATATGTTGAAGAACCAGATTGGACTTGACCAGTTACAAGTTTAACACTGGTTGCCCTTTCATGGTTACCAGTTTAAAAACCAGCCATGTCAACATAACCGATAATCCAATCTTGGGTTGGGAGTCCACTCCCCTGGTCCAGATTATCTTTAAAATCAGGACCTGTACAGTTTTCTCAAGGACTGTCCTAGTCATGATTCATGAATAAAATTATGGTTCAATTTCAGCCCAGATCAAAATTGGACCTAATCAGTCGCCCCTTTAACCAATGGCATTCCCCTTGTGAGCTTAAGCCAATAAGCCAACAGCTCTCAACCCACGAAACAGATGCTATAGATCCATTGTGAATGTTAAAAGTCTTTTACAATATGGATTTAATGCAACAAACGGAAACTCATATCATAAAAGCTATCATGTAGAAAACACTCATGGAGTGAGTAATCAATCAGTCCATAGAAGGTGGGGGTGTGTTTTCATTGGATGGCCTCTTCTTAAACTTCCTTTCATTCCATCTACTCCATGCCCATTTCAGAACAAAGAACCCACCAATAGCATAAACCTGAAATTTACACACTTTCATCATATTACACCATGTTCAATCAACATAGTTCCACAAAATTTGGTCATAAAACGAAGTATAAGAGAGTGTTTGGATCTGCTTCTTGAAACTGTTTCTGCTCCTTCACAGAGCAAAAACATATATTAGAGTGCTTGGGTGAAATAGTAAAAGCACTTTTGGGTGCTCCAATTTGCTCTTAAAAGCCGTTTTTAGAAGTTGGAGGAGACCAGCTCCAAACACCCTCTAAAACTTGTGATTGAGATTTAGACTTGGAGAAAATAACTATACTTTAAATGGAAACTAAATAGTTAATTTTTTTAGTCAGATAAAAGTTGTAAGGCTTTGTGCAAAAAAACATACTTTAAGATCATTTGACTGCAGGAAACAAGTTGCAGGGGTAAAGATTAAAGGGATTGTTTTGCACTGAAACATTTTCCCATATAAGTTGGGAAACCGATGGAAATGGAAATACAAGTATATGTTCCACAGTACAAGAGAAGGAAATCCATAAAGTACTTCATCTTATTCGAATTTTATAAATAAAAGAAACAATGATATCCCTAAATTGAAATGGGAAACCTGAAATAGAATTTCATTTCAATAATATTTAGTTATTTACAATACCTGCCATAGGACGACGGGGTTAGTATCGGTCTCAGATTCTTGGGATTCGAGTTTCAAGGAGGGGAATTCCGCCTTAGGAAACTTCACCACAGAAGGTTTATCTTCTTCCTTTGGAAGTTCTTGTTTCGGACTAATGGGCTGAGTTTCTTCAGGAGCGGCGGGCTTCGGCGAAGGCGGTTTAAAGAACTGAAGAAAGGCCGAGAGGAGGGAGAGCAGAGGGTTGATAGGTTTATTTCTCTGTTCTTCTTCAGCGACTGTAGAGCCACCGATGCTGACCGAGGAAGGGGCAGGCTCCGCCATCGTTTAGGCGTGGCGAGGATATCGACGGTAGTGTGCTCACACGAGCGGTGCGAGAGTGGAATATGAAGGGGTGAATTTTGCAAGGATTTTGCAAGTTTTTGTGTATTGAGGGGTGTTTGTGTTTGTAAGGGAACTAGAAGCTGAATGAGAATCAGTTTTAAAAAACTGGTCATCCACCTCTTCTAAAAAATTGATACTATGAGTAAATTAGAGCATCAGAAACACTTCTGCACTTTCACCAAAGCATTCCAGCTTTTTCTTCTGCTCCCTGAAGGAGTAAGTAGAAGCAGTTTTAAAAATCAGATTCAAACACTCTCTCAGTCTATTGAGTATTGAGTGTAGGAATGCATGATTATAAAAGTAATTTTTTTAAGATGTAACCAATATAAACTTTTAAAAGTCTAATAAATTCAAATTTTCATTGGTTTTAAGACCTTTTAATATTTCAGATTTGTGTGGACTTTTAATTCATTTTTAGTACAGTAATTTTCTATGGCGGTCTTTTCTCCTAACCGAAAAATTCTGTGAATTTGCTCTTTTGTTTTCTATTCTTCACAAGTATGCATAGATCGATTTCCAGAATCAGATTAAATTTGACTAATTATTTATCCGAGATTACAAGCCGGCTAATTGGGCCTGGACTAGTATTGTGTCGAAAGTTCAATACCAAGATGATCTTGATATGCAAGGTTTAACAATTAAATTCTGGGTTTTATCCTTTTATAATAGGGAATGTTCCTCAAATAGGAGTAAATAAGTTTGAAATTTTTAAGATATGACTGCGATGTTTTTATTCTCAAAATATGATTAGTTACTGCTAAGTTTGAAAAATGCTGCCAAGTTTGAAAAATACCGCCATGTTTAAAGTGTGCTACTGTCAAAACATGACCGTAATTACTCCTATTTTTGGAAATAAAAAAAAGACGATCCTATTTTGGAATTTTCAAACATTTTTAGTCTTATTTAGGATGATTTCCCTTTATAATATATAAAATTGAGCAAGAAGATTATACATTAATACGATACACAAGAAAAACTTAAAAGAATTTATTTTGCAACAACTTGAAAGAAATTAAAAGATGCTTTTTTAATGAAAAAGGAAAAATTCTCGGGATATGACTAAAACAAAGTGAGTTTCTCAAAATGTGAGTAATTATGTTTTTTTCCCAAAGTATGACTGAAAATATATATAAAAAAATCGTTATATTAAATTTTGGAAGGAAGGAAATACCCTTTTTCTTAAAAAATGCATTTTACACTACTTTCGTCCGGGTAAAAATAATGAACTTTATGAAAGAGTCGATTCACAACATTTATTGCACTTTATGTTGTGTTCACGACACGAGATTTAATGCATTTCATGCAATTAAGTTATGGCACTTCAGTTTATGGTTTTTTGTAGTTTTGATAACTTTAGTTTTTACATTTAATTAAATATAATGCACTTCATGCGGGAGTTATTGCACAACATTAAAAAATTGTTAGGATTTCATATATCTTTCATTTTAAATTTGATAATCGCACTTTATGTCAATGTTAATGCACTAATTATTGCACTTCTTGTCATAATCACATTATACATGGTCATATCATTGCACCCGTACCAATCATTGCACTTCTTGTGATATTCACGGAATTCAATACAAATTATTTATTGCACACGATCTTCCATCGTCTTCAACCTCGACCACCTTGGTTGAAGAATCTGAGTTGTTGGAGCGGCAGTCCAGTGCCATTCTTTGAGAACATTAATTCTCAACCCCAATTTCAAGAAATACAAAAAGAAAAAGGAGAAGGGGAAGGAGAAGGAGGCAACCATGCGGCGGGTCTGCGGTTGGTGAGCGGCGGCGAGCGATGGTTGTGCGGCCGCCGACTAGATGGCGGACAATACATGGACGTCGCGCAGCGCCTTGAGGCCCAGGTCGAGCGGACGATTGCACTAGCTATCGACGATTTACACCCTGATCGCAGTTCTATGCAAGGCGGCGGCGCTGGACTGTGGGCGGAGACTAGGCAGCGAGCGGCAGTTGGGCGGAGGGGCGGCTGTGCGAGTGAGCGTTGGAGGTTGTATCTAGGGTTGTAGAATATGAATAGGAGGTTAGGGTTTTATAGGGATAAGCTAAAAGTGTTTTTGTCCATAAAAAATATTTATTAATTATTAACTACGAATTTTAATGAATTATTATGAAATGTAATATTATATTGGAAAAAAACTAGTTAGGGCATAGATTGAGAAATTGAGAGAGTTTTAGTCATATGGGGATAATTATTTCATGAAAAAATTACACAAATATTACTAGTTTAAACTCCACTAACAAAAATATGACTTGTGCCATAACTTACTTCCATGATGCTGTACATGTTCCCGTATAAATAGTTACCTTTTTGTAGTCGCAAATGGAGATTTGGTCCTCTTCCAAATCAAAAGATCTATTATGCATAAAATTCACCTCAAACTAGATCTTGTTCCTCAAATCTTTCGGTTCATCTCTCAGCTCACAAATCCCGCTAAGAAAAATTCTGAAGAAAAAAAATCGGTTTGGAGGTATCAGAATATCCGTGGCAATTAATAGAGCGGGCTACTATGTCAAAATGGCGAAATACTAGGGGAGCTTCATTCATATACCCATGGGACCATAATATTATTCAAGCCTATTTAAATTCCTTAATGTTTTTTCTAATTTTGTAGGGCTCTCAAAGTCAATACAGGATGACTCGTTATCCCTTCAGCACAAGAGTACTTTAGAAACCGAGGACCCCACATCCATTTCAAATCTGATCTTTAATTATCAAATCCAGGCGGCAATTACGAAAATAACCATGTCTTCTCTTCTGGGAAACTACCCCAGCTGCCACTGATACAGGCTTACTCAGATGCCTCAGACAATTTTGATCATTCAGATGACTCACTCTTTACAGATGACTTCTTGGGGCATGCAATTGAGAGTGATCGTCGTCCTCCGATTTCATATTCGGAAGAAAATTAAAAAAATACAAATTCAATACCGCGATTTGTCACAAAACTAATTTCATAACCCCAGAAAATTGTCTGTCAACCTCAATATTGAACATGGAGCTAAAAATCTACAAGAAATCACAAAAGAACAAAAGGTGACCAACATGACGACTAGGTCACAAACCAGAGATTTCTCATGGGATTAGGTCTTTTATTTCCTTTTGTATTTCTTTTCATTTATTTTAGTACGTTTATTTTTCTCTCATGTACTCTTATTTTATTTTTCCTTTTTCTCATTGTACTTTTATTTTATATCAATAAAATATTTTATTTTTAAAAAATAACCTTTTTGTAACTCCATATACTATTGGTAATATTTATGTAAAAATATAGCGTCTTATGAAGAAAAATGTATGGATAAGTTCAATTCAATTTTTGAAAGTGTTGAGATTTATTCTTTCAATCCGGGGGCGTAACCCAAAGATTTCGAGTGGAAAGGTGTATGAGAATAACGAGTGCAAGCCAGTAAGATACTAAGATGACCTAAAATATATCTGCAGCAATGGGTCGTATCTTATTAAATGATAATAAGTGTCCGTATACAACACACTACGCTACCTGGCTTGAGGCCGATCGTCTTTCTAGCTAAGCAAGAGCTGAGAATAAAAGCTAGAATGCTAGGGAGAATAAGTTGGCAACCATTTACAATGAAATAAATGCTACTATTTATACTACCAAGGGGTATGTAAGTGTGCTGACGTGGAAAGTTGTGGATGGCTAGGCTTCCGACCACCAAATCTCCAACATTAAATGCGCTTCCCGCCAGAATCTTGGTTTCCTGCCAATCTTTGGGGACGAGCGTCCCCTGGGTCTTGGGCCTTCTTCTGGCAAAGGAACAAGGGGAGGAGGCTGAGCGTCTCCAGCGTATCGCTGGTGTGGATGCTGGAGTGCGCTGGGTAGTCTCAATGGCTAAGGGTCTTGAGGCCGAGCGTCCTGTCAAGAGATGGACGTCAGGACGGACGTCGGTTATGCCTTGGCCTGTTGTGTATCACCAGCCCTGGTGGGCCTTGGGGTCTGGGGACGAGCGTATGGCACTCCTTTCCTATTGGGCTTCGAGGTTCTTCGTCCAAAGAAATAATGGGCCGACCCCTGGTTGGGCCATTAACCCAATTCGTCCAAAGAAATAATGGGCCGACCCCTGGTTGGGCCATTAACCCAACAGAAAGAAAATTTGAAATCATTTGAAGATCGTTAATTCAATATCGTTTTAGTTCTGTATTTTTTTGAAGAATCTATATAAGATTCGATAGTATTCTTGTATATTGTCGATCAATTAACCGTTAAAAAAAAAAGTCTCATCGTCAAACCACTAACAATAAAAATATAATATCGAACTAATAAATATTTAATTGTAAATAGGTAAACAAGTTTCAACAAGACAAATATGAATAGAAAACAATTAATTAAAAGGGAACTTCTTTGGTTAACATTTAACTAATAAAATAAACAAAAATAAGAATATGAATGATTTAAAATCACACAAGTTTTAGTAAATTTGATATACGATAATTTTAATTAGTCATAAAAAAAAGGAAAGATAAGATAATTTTAAGGAAGCGGACGAAGTGTATTTAAATTCATATAATCTATTAAAATGCTTTTCCCACTCCAAAGTGGGTACACACTCCATTGCCTTCCCGTCTCATTTTCCATGCATCTTATTTAGATGTAGGCATGTAGCACAATCATTAACAAAGTAATTTAAAAATAAAAATTGTAGTTGAAGTTTAAATAGAACAAGTGGGTTGATGTTGATTTTATAAAAAAGTATTTGAAAGAAGTAATAATGACAAATATATGACTGAAATAAATATATTAAATAAAAATATACTCCATAATTTTTTATATTTTAGCAATTATGTTTATGTTTAATGTTTTTCAAAAATATTATTAAAACAAAACTTATTTACTGATACTTACTAAAAATATATTGTTATGATAACTTAAGTTTAAAAATTAAATTTAAGTTATTATGATTTCATTACTACTCTAATCACTAATCACATTTTATAAACATTTTTTATTTTAGTGATATATATATATTTAATTATTTTCTATGTTCAACTCTTTATGATAAATTAGTTATAATGTATAAAGTATATAATAATATTTTTGTTCATAAATTATAA